AATATCATCTTTTATGAAAGGCCTTTCCTGATCATCCTGTATAAAACAGTAACACTCCCCCTGCCACATCCCCTCTCTCCAGTTTCCTCTTCTCCATTGTACTGATCAGCATCTAACATACTATTTGTTTACTTGTTTATATCACAACCTGGAAACTGAAGCTGTAAAAAAAAATTAATGAAATGATCCACTGTTTTCCAGGGTATGATGAGGTTTGCTACTCTCATACACCATTACACCATTCTTGGGACTGGGCACTGTTATAATCCCTTTGAAAAGTAATTTGGCAGTAAGTATAAAGAGTCATAAAATGTCCATCTCCTGGAACATTTTATGTTTTGAAAATTCTGAAAGTCGATCCTAAGAAGATAATCTAAAATGTGGAAAAGAAGGCCAGGTATGGTGGCTTATGTCTATAATCTCAGCACTTTGGGAGGCTGAGGCAGGAGGGTTGCCTGAGCCTAGGAGATCAAGACAAGCCTAGGGCAACATGGAGAGACTCTGTCTCTATAAAATATAAAAAATTAACCAGATATGATGGCACATACCTGTGGTCGCAGCTACTCAGGAGGCTGAGGTGAGAGGATCACCTGAGCCTGGGAGGTTGAGGCCGCAGTGAGCTGTGATGGTGCCACTGCACTCCAGCCTGGGCAACAGAGCAAGATTGTCTCAAAAGAAAAAAAAAATGTGGAAAAGAAAACACATGGAAAAATGTATACTAATGTGGTATTTATAATATCAAGAAATTGGAAAGATTCTAAACATCTAACAATATACAGAAACAGGTAAATTAAGTAAATTACTGTTCATTTACTTAATGATATATTATTCACTTGTTAAAAGGATAGTTATGAAAGGCTGGTTAGCAACAAGGAAAATGCTACAAGGCAATGTTATACTTAAAATAATAGGATCCACGACTGTATAGAGTATGATTTCACTTATCTTTAAATATACACCCAAAGAAGGACTAGGAGGAAATTAACCCCAATGCTGATATTAAATGCATTAGGCTAATGGAATTATTGGTGACTTATTTTTTCTAAATCCTTTCAGTTTTCTGTATTTAGGTTATATCCTTTCTGTAATGTGCTATTTAATTTTTTATAATAATCATTTTTTAAAATACTCAAAAGAAACTACTGTTACAACTAACTCACCACCATCTAGATGGCATTGTTGGGTATCAGTGGTAAGTGTGAGTCTCCAGGCTGATGGCTTCTACTTTTAGTTCTGAGGATCCTGACATCAATGGCTGGCCCTACAGCTCATTAGCCTCCCACATCTCATTCCTCCACTTTCTCATTCCTGACTCCTTCCTCTTTGCCACTCTTCCTGTATAATTTTAGGCTGTGTCTGCCTGATTATGAAGGACACAATTATGAAACAAGAAAAGCTAAAAAAAAAAAAAAAAAAGCCACACAACTTGCCCCCATGCATCTTAATAATCTTCATGTACATGGATCAAGGCTAAGCCACCATATTAATGCCCCCTTCTAGTCTTCTCATTCTAGCTACCCCTGTCCCCATTGGTAGACATTAAGGATTCCCACTTGGCTGTTCTCTGTAGCACCAGCCAGCCACCATGTCCAGCCGAAACCCTCATTTTCTCATCTAAAGTCCTATGTCCTTAGACAATACACTAACAAACACACACCAATTATTAAGATAGCCTAAGTTAACTTATTATATAGGCATTGCCTAAGTGGAGTAAACAATTGAATAACAGAATAATTCAACCTGAAACCTGTAATCAATTGATGCCCCAAATATCAGTGTCTGAATTAACCAGCTCATTGCTTCAGATTTTTTCTGCATATGTCACAGTGTCTCGATAACTATTTGAGACCAAAAAATTAACAGTTTACTGTTAATTTTAACTACTTTGGTTATCTGCAGTATTCTAAGTATTTATTTAGTAACTAAAATTAATTTTATCTGCTTTGATTAATGGCCTCATTTGAAGGATCTGGAAGCTGTTTTTCTGAGACAATAGAACATTTTTTGATAAAGCAAAACTCTTAATTGAGTTAGATCCTTTCAAATGGTTATTTAGACTTAAGAATTGAGATTATTAATAGCAGACTTATAAGATGTCAAAAGGAATGTATTATCTCGTTATGACTAATAGGATTTTAGAGAATATTTTTCACAAAAAGAGATTTTTCCATTTAATAACCCATTTATTTTCAAGCAATAGTCTGTTGAATAAAGATTCTAAGCAAATTCACTGTAATGGGGATGGAGGAATTAAATAGAATTTCCCAAGAAATGTTGTTCATAGTGTTCACCATTATAACAGCTCAACAGTGTTCTTGTATGCCTTCTTTGGCTAAAGTCCCACGTAGAAAACCCTTTCACCTAGACATGGTGGTTCACACCTGTAATCTTAATACTTGGGAGACTGAGGTGGGAGGATCGCTTGAGCCCGGGAATTTGAGGCTATAGTGAGCTATGATCATGCCACTGCACTGTTGAGCAACACAGCAGACCCTATCTTTATGAAAGAGAGAGAGAGAGAGAGAGAGAGCCCTTGTAGCTGCTGACACAGACGTGAGGAATCATAACATGATTGCCCTCATCACAGCTAACAATTTTGAGAATTTACTGTGAGCCAGCCTTTGCTGCATACTGCACTAAATTGTCTCATTTTAATGCTCAGAAATCAATAAAGTAGGCACAAATGTTATAGTCATTTTTAGATAAAGAAACTGAGGCCTAGAAAGATTAAGTAACTTGTTCAAGAGACAGCATTTAACATAAAACACAGATGTGTTGTATTGGCTGTTTTGCCTTCTCTGTGATGCTGAGAAAATAACATTTTTTAAAGGAATTTCAGATTCGACTTTACAGCTTTTAATTTAAAAGGAAAAATGAAAGGCATTTTGAATTGCTGTGGCTGTTATGCCATTGACTAATTCCATTGGAAAGCTGGTTCAGTGAGAGCTGAAATTCTAGAAGTCTGAAATGTCTGAGAGACTGAGTTCCCCTTGGCTAGTTGGTGCTTCCCTCACAACCTTTTCCCACATCAGCCTGTGCTGTAAACCTCCCTTTCACTCTGTGATGATTTCATCTCTGAGGGTTTGTCACTCGTGGAGCTGTCCTTGGTCTGACAGGTCAGAGAAGAAAAGTTTTTGCCTGGGGTCTCTGGCTCCTCACAAAGTTGCTGCACTTCTCAGCTGATTTATATTAATAGAAATCCACAAACCCGCCATGTACAACAGATTGAGAGAATTCTTAGGAAAGGCCACAAAAACGCTGAAGTACTTCATCATAGTATATTTTCATTTTTCCCTGCAATTGAGCAGAGCTTTTCCATCTTAGATCAGGACATGGGAAACCTAAAGTTCACTTAAGAAAATCAGGCTGAAGATCCGTTTTGGGCATTATACAGTTCTAAACGCTGCAAAAGAGCAAGATAATATTCCTCCCCTCAAAGATTTTACATGTCAATGATAAGACACACATAAAAAAGTTAGACAACCCGACATCATAAAGAGATGAATCAGAAGCCAATAGTGTACCATGAATACCAAGTGTTTGAAATCCAAGGCAGGGTTATGGGGAGGAGGTCATTGGATGCTGAAATGGTGAGGGAGGTTTCTGGGGAGAGGGGGGAAATTTAATATAGGTCTTGAAGAGGAGAAAGCTAGCCACAGGACAGAGTGTATACTGTAACCCCACTTACCTAAAAACGAAGCAAAAAAAATTGTATAGGTTTATTAAATGCAGTGAAAAAGGGTCAGAAGGATAAGCAGCATATTGGAAGAAGGGCAATACAGTTGGCAGGTGGGAGAAGGGAAGGGCTAGAATTAATAGGGACTTTCAGTTTTTACTGTACATATACTTCTATATTGTTTAAATATTATTTATTTATTTATTTATTTAGATCGAGTTTTGCTTTTGTAGCCAAGGCTGGAGTGCAATGGTGCAATCTTGGCTCACTGCAACCTCCCCCTCCCAGGTTCAAGTGATTTCCTGCCTCAGCCTCCCAAGTAGCTGGGATTACAGGCATCCGCCACCACGGCTGGCTAATTTTTTTGTATTTTTAGTGGAGACAGGGTTTCACCACATTGGCCAGGCTGATCTCGAACTCCTGACCTCAGGTAATCCATCTGACTCGGCCTCCCAAAGTGCTGGGATTACAGGCATAAGCCACCACACCTGGCCTGTTTGAATATTTTTCTAATGAGGATATACTTATGCATTATTTGGTATAATTAAGAAATACAACATTGACAAAGAACAGATAGAACTTGGGTTTGTAGAGCAAAAGAAAGAGGGTATGGCCGGGCGCGGTGGCTCAAGCCTGTAATCCCAGCACTTTGGGAGGCCGAGGCGGGTGGATCACGAGGTCAGGAGATCGAGACCATCCTGGCTAACATGGTGAAACCCCGTCTCTACTAAAAAATACAAAAAACTAGCCGGGCGTGGTGGCGGGCGCCTGTAGTCCCAGCTACTCGGAGGCTGAGGCAGGAGAATGGCGTGAACCTGGGAGGCGGAGCTTGCAGTGAGCCGAGATCGCGCCACTGCACTCCAGCCTGGGTGACACAGCGCGAGACTCCGTCTCAAAAAAAAAAAAAAAAAAAAAAGAAAGAGGGTATTTTAGTTGAGAAGAACAGCTTGAGTACATGCCTGAAGGTGGAAATGTCCAGGGTGTATTTTGGGAAACAATGAGGAGACCAGTGGGACCAGCACAGAAGGGACATAGTAGCAGTTAGATTGGGGCCAGGTGGAGAAGAGCTGTGAACGCAAGACCTAGTGTGAGCCTTTCACCTTCCACTAAAGCAATGAAGAGCCTTCGAAGAGTTGATCTGGAGTTCGTTAATCTGTTCACACAAGAATTTATTGATGAGCATACCTGAAGACCTAGCAAAGTTAGAGAATAGAAATTGAAATCTACCTTTCTTGTACACCATGACAAGCCATTGTACTGTCTCCTATAGTAACTGCAGCAAGAAAGGTTCTGACGTATACAAACCTGTTGTTGGGCATTTCAGGAAACACTGAAAATAGAAATGCTGTCAGAAGCAATTGGGGAGCAACCACTTCTACTTGATCCATAGTATTCATTCCACTGTAAGTCTTTGTGTAATGTTTGACAGCTATGATGAATGACTTAAATGTAGTAGGGAGATTTTGATCCCCAGCATATGAGAAATGACTGAGTCAAATTTGTAAAAGTTGAGTAAAAATTACTTGATTCAAAAAAATGAAAATCAGGTGGATTCTGTAACATGAGATTTGCATTAGTGAATATGTGCTTTCATTGAATGAACTGACAAAAATCAATATTTTCTTTAAATTTGCATTTGTAACACTATTCAAATACTTATATATACATCATATTTTGTATATACAAACACACACACACACATTCATACAACAGACACAACAAAAATCTGTAGCGATCGGGGAGTGAGGAAATACCTGACCTACAAGCCCATCTTGGAGGAAATATTAAATCTAATGAGAGGAAAAATACTACAGCTAGTTGAACCTTGACTCAGTCATGCATTCTGACTCATGTGAAATGATTGGATTATGAGTGAGATGAATTTTTTTTATTGACCAACAAGTGGAAGAGGGACATATCAGAGTCCTAGAATGATAATGCAGGTTAAGTTTATAAAAACATAGTCTTGGCCTGGCGTGGTGGCTCACGCCTGTAATCCCAGCACTTTGGGAGGCCAAGGTGGGCGGATCATCTGAGGTCAGGAGTTTGAGGCCAGCCTGGCCAACATGGTGAAACCCCATTTCTACTAAAAATACAAAAATTAGCCAGGTGTGGTGGTGCACGCCTGCAATCCCAGCTACTTGGGAGGCTGAGGCAGGAGAATTGCTTGAACCCAGGAGGTGGAGGTTGCAGTGAGCCAAGATTGTGCCATTGCACTGCAACCTGGGTGACAGAGCAAGAGTCCATCTCAAACAAATAAACAAAAAAACACACACAGAAACATAGTTTTCAGCTGACTCAGTGCTGCTCCACAAGAAGCAGCTTAAAAAACAAAAACAAAAACAGTCTTCTCCTGTAGGAGCTGAATTTAAAAAACAAATCAAAACAACAAAATAAAACAAAACAAAACAACATAGTCTTCATTTACTACAGATTTTCTTGTCACCAGAAGTGCTACTGGAGGAAGAAACTGACAATTGAATTGAGTTTTCAGGTTTTACTTTGCTTCTCCAGACCTTAAAGACTTTTGATCCCCATTTATCCCTCACTCCACCATTTCCTTCTCATTCCACAATATGTGTCCTTTTTCAGAGACACAGATGGCACTCTTAATCGGAAAAACTGAATTTTCTTGTCTGGTGATGGGAAAACAAATAACGGGGACAAGAAAGATTTTAAAAGGCTTTGAAAGTTCCAGGGAAAGGGAGATTCCTGATTTCGTGTGTTGCATTTTCTTCAGAACCCGTTTTTTCTTCTTAATCCTCCTTTATCCTACAAAATTACTTTGTGGTATCTCTTCCCGACATGAGGTGAGGGCAGCACGAGGCATCTGACCTCCACGTGTTGGGAGAAGGCAGGAATACAAGATGATCCTGTGCCTGACGTGATTAAACAGACTCATGCACATTTTACAATCACAAATTTTGGAATAAAAAATGATCCTTTAAGAAAAATCTTCAATTGTTTTCATATAGTTCTCAGTACCAATCTTGATAAGAATTGATAATTAAAACCAGTAAATATTTACTGCTACCTGCCAAGTTGAATTAAAATAATTCATTTCGTTCTGACAATATTGCACTCTTGAGTAGAGTTACAGAAGAAGAGCAAGTACAGACTCTAAGTTTCCAGTACAATCCAGACAGGACAAGTCTGTTCTGTCTCTCTTCCCCAGTTGTCTCCCTCCCTGATAACTGGTAGATAGATAGATAGATAGATAGATAGATAGATAGATAGATAGATAGATAGATAGATGGATAGGATGGATGGATGGATAGATGATAGATAGGTAGATAGATGGATAGATAGATAGATAGATAGATAGATAGATAGATAGATAGATAGATGATAGCTAGCTAGATAGATAGAATGGATGGATAGATAGAGAGATAGAATGGATGGATAGATAGATACAGATAGATGGACAGACAGACAGACAGAGTAGGTGGAAGAAACTTCTTCCTGATTTTGATGTTCTCCCACATATGAAAAGATGGAGCTTCTGTGATTGACAATAGCTTAAGCAAAGACAGGGAAAGAATATTTACGAGTACAGAAGTTAGGTGATTCTAAGCAGAAAGATGAGAGCCAATTTTGTAATCACACAACATTTTTTAAAAGAGAGGAAGGAGTAGGCCAGGCGCAGTGGCTCATGCCTGTAATCCCAGCACTTTGGGAGGCCGATCACGAGGCGGGTGGATCACGAGGTCAGGAGTTTGTAACCATCCTGGCTAACACTGTGAAACCCCATCTCTACTAAAAGTACAAAAAAGTAGCTGGGCATGGTGTCGGGCACCTGTAGTCACAGCTACTTAGGAGGCTGAGGCAGGAGAATGGTGTGAACCCAGGAGGTAGAGCTTGCAGTGAGCCGAGATCGCACCACTGCACTCCAGCCTGGGCAACAGTGCAAGACTCTGTCTCAAAAAAAGAGAAAAAAAAAGAGGAAGGAGTAGGTATTGTCGAAGAATTAATGCCCTAAAATAATGCTCAGAAAAAATAGGAACATCTAGAGAGTTAGGAAAGATTTTGGACACCCAAATAACTCCCATTTCTCTTTTGGTATGTCAACATGCTTGAGATTAAACATATAAAAATACAAACAGGTCAGGCACGGTGGCTCATGCCTGTAATCCTAGCACTTTGGGAGGCAGAGGCAAGTGGATCACAAGGTCAGGAGTTTGAGACCAGCCTGGCCAATATGGTGAAACCCTGTCTCTACTAAAAATACAAAATTTAGTTGGGTGTGGTGGCACATGCCTGTGGTCCCAGCTACTCTGGAGTTTGAGGCAGTGAGGCAGTAGAATCACTAGAACCCGGGAGGCAGAGGTTGCGGTGAGCCGAGATCGTGCCATTGCACTCCAGCCTGGACAACAGAGTGAGACTCCCTCTCAAAAAAAAAAAAAAAATCCAAATATTACTCTGATGATGCTATTACAGATCTCCAAAAGCAAAGGAACAAATACCCCATTTACTCCCCACTGACATTGATTATTTTATCCCTGGTTTGTGACCTAAAATGAATTGAGGAACTTACTATATTCAGTTCATTTCTGCCTTCCCTCTAAGTTCCAGGATAAACTTTGAAGTCAATATTTTTTATTAAAGTTTATTTTATCAAAACATTGAATATTTGTAATTTGTAACATATCCTATATATTTTTAATTTATGCAAACTAATAATTTCCTAAAATATGCAATTAATGGTATTCTTAACAGATACAATATTTTTATGTATTGAAGTACTTATTTATGGAAATCTATCTTTTCTTTATGTATTTTAAAATATTTCATGTGCTTTAATATTTTGCTTTTTTGACAATAAAAATATTTTATTTTGTGGGTTTTTAAAAAGATTTATACTATTGTTTTCCTTTTTTTAACCAACAGTTAAATTTGGAAGTTCTGTCTTATGTTGCAAATGACTCTTGTTGGTACAAAAAGTTTATCTTTTGGGGAGCTATAAAGATTTCTTGTCTTTTAAGCCTTATTTACAAAATTTTTGTCAATTGTTTTATATTGACTTTCTCATTAACTTGCCAGCAATAAGCAAAAATAAAGCTAGGACTGTGTCAAAAAAATTCACTGGCGCACATTCATCCTTCTTCAGCAGGTTTACTCCATAGTGTTCCCCATTCAGCTACTGTGCCGGCCAATGGAAACAGCGAGTCACTGTCTGAAATGAAGAATAATTGGAAACATGGTGCCCGTTTCTTTTCCTGCAAATAACAATTCATCCATTTAACATTCTTTTGCTGCTCTTGAATTCTGTAGTAGACAGCCCTGTGTTCACTGTTCAGTTGAGGCCCATTTGAGAAAAGCTAACCTTCTAGCCTGCTGTTGACCCTCCAATGGGAAACAGTGACAGTCATCGACGGCTTCTACATAGAGCTAGTGACATGTGGCACTAGCAGCTTCATGTAGGTAAATGGACCTCAGGCTGGAAAATGCTAGGCTGGGAGGGACAGTAATAATGATAAAAGATTAAAATTCTGGCTATCATGATCTCCACTCTCCAAAGAAACAAAGCCCAGAAAGGTTAAATAACTTGCACAAGGTCACTTGGCCAGCAAGCTGTAGAACAGACTGTTTCCAACGTCTTTCTTGTGTACCCTACACAATCTTTTATGGTCACATATGTGATTGATTTTTAAATGTTCCATACACATATAAAAAGATTGGGCCGGGCGCAGTGGCTCATGCCTGTCATCCCACCACGTTGGGAGGCCAAGGAGGGCGGATGACGAGGTCAGGAGTTTGAGACCAGCCAGGCCAATAGTAAAACCCCATCTAAAAATACAAAAAAAAAAAAAAGCCAGATATGGTGGCGCGTGCCTGTAGTCCCAGCTACTCAGCAGGCTGAGGCAGAAGAATCGCTTGAACCTGGGAGGCAGAGGTTACGGTGAGCCAAGATTGCGCCACTGCACTCCAGCCTGGGTGACAGAGCGAGACTCCATCTCAAAAAAAAAAAGATTGCATATTCCCTTTTTGCAAGATATATATGTGGTTTTTATGCTGTTTACTAATCACATACACTCTTATATATGTGTATATAATAAGCCTTTGATGATATCATTATAGTTGTCTATATTCTTGCTTGTTTTCGACTTCATGTTCTATCAAATTCTGAAAGGGATGTATTAAAAACTACCACTACGGTTATAATTTCATCAAATGCTCCTTGTCTTTTGATTTTTATTTTGCACTGTTTTTTTAGTGCATAATAGCTGATAACTCGTGTATCTTTGTCATGTTTCTATTCATATCACAGGAAATTGGGCTGGCTGCATAAAAAAGGATACCCACATCGTAGTGGCTTAAGTACATGAAGCTGTGTTTGTCTCATATAAAAGATGTTTGGAGGTAGGAAGTCCAGGACTGGAATAGTACCTCTGTGGTCATCTGGAATGCAAGCTGCTTCTGTCTTCCTACTCTGTCACCTTTAGTGTGTGGCACCCATATTTCAAGTCATGGTTGCAAGATGGCTCCTGCAGCTCTAGCCATCACATACATATTCCAGACAGGAAGGAGGAAAAAGAGTAAAAATGAGTAATACAGGTGAGTTAGATTTCAGTAGGCCCCATCCACTAACTTCTGCTTACAACTTACTGTTTTTTGTTTTTTGAGATGGAGTTTCGGTCTTGTCACCCAGGCTGAAAGGCAATGGCGTTATCTCAGCTCATTGCAACCTTTGCCTTCTGGGTTCAAGCGATTCTCCTGCCTGAGCCTCCTGAGTAGCTGGGATTACAGGCACCTGCCACATGCCCAGCCATTTTTTTTTTAATTTTTAAATTTTTATTTTTAGTAGAGACAGGGTTTCACCACATTGGCCAGGCTGGTCTCAAACTCCTGACTTCAGGTGATCTGCCCGCCTTGGCCCCCCAAAGTGCTGAGATTATAGGCATGAGCCACCTACAACTTATTGTCTACCCCTTACTATAAAAGGAGATGGAAAAAGTAACTTTAAAAAAAATGTGGACACACTGCTGCTCCAAATT